GCTGGTCTGGCTCAGTGGATAGAGCGTCAGCCTGGGGACTGAAAGGTCCACGGGTTCGATTCCAGTCAAGGGCACATGCCCGGGTTGCGGGCTCGATCCCCAGTGCGGGGGCGTGCTGATCGATGATTCTCTCTCATTATTGATGTTTCTATCTTTCCCTCTCTGAAGTCAATAAAATATATATTTTTAAAAATGCATCCATTCCACGTCTACTAGTATTGATTGAGTTACTCGCTCTGTGCCAGGAGCCCTTGTAAACAGAAGTAAGACGAACAGAAGTATTCCCACGGAGCACACATTTTTAGCAGGGGAGTTAGATGATACACAAGCAAATAAACACAGATTGTTATTTCAGACAGCGCCATCGGACACAGCGCCCCATGGGCATGCTTTGTCATTGTGGTTTAGGTACAGAAACCCCAACCTGGATATGAAAGAAAAATGTGGACTAACCTATAAGCCAAACATGTTAATAGTTTTTTTAAATGCATTTTTAAAATTTTTATTTTATTTTATTTTTTTAAAATAAGATGTTTATATATATATTAATATTTTTACTAATTTTTAATATATATTTTTAAAAATTCATCCATTCCACGTCTACTAGTATTGATTGAGTTACTCGCTCTGTGCCAGGAGCCGTTGTAAACAGAAGACGAACAGAAGTATTCCCGTGGTGCACACATTTTTAGCAGGGGAGTTAGACAACACACGAGCAAATAAACACAAATTATTTCAGACAGCACCATCGAACACAGCGCCCCATGGGCATGCTTTGTCATTGTGGTTTAGGTACAGAAACCCCAACCTGCATATGAAAGAAAAATATGGATTAACCTACAAGCCAAACATGTTAATAGGTTTTTACTGAGCCAAACCGGTTAGCCCTGCACTTTTTTAAATTGATTTCAGAGAGGAAGGGAGAGAGAAATAGAATCACCAATGACGAGAGCGAAGCATTGATCCGCTGCCCCCTGCACGCTCCCACTGGGGATCAAGCCATCAGAGTCCCTGCGTTGCCCAGCGTTGCTGTACCCCATTCTGTCCACAGCCACACCCCGATGGAGGCCCACCTGAGCCGCCCTCCCCAACCTGCCCAGCCCCGCCTTCTGTCCATTCTCCTGGCCGCCCAGCCTAGCAACCCCTCCAACCTAGGCACCGACCCCCAGAATCCCAGGGGCGTGGCTCTGTCACTCGGGGTGCCCTATGGTTCCAGTCTGGCCCGGCCAGGCCGGCCCTGGGGGGGCGGGTCACTGAAGGAGGTCACGCCAACCCGGGTTGGACCTCCCCGTCTGCATTCTGCAGGTGGCCTTTGCCACCGCGGCGGGACTACATTTCCCAGAGGGCGCGGCGGAGGAGGACACGCCCACTTCCGGCGTCGTCACGCTGTTGGCTCTGGCGCGCCG